AGAATTCTTCCAGCGAACCGCACGCTCCCCTTCCCCCCGGAGAACGCGTTTTGCGCCAGCCTATATTATATGACAGGATTGCAAAAACATGATGTGTGAAAATTTGCTCTCCACATACCAACACCAGCCCCCTCCCCCAAAAAATCAGCCAAACACGGGAACCCCTCGATCCCAACGAAGCGAGATTTCGTGGGTGGCGGGGAAAGAGGGCGCATCTCCGCGATGCGACGAGGATAATAAAGGGAAAAGCGCAGCCGGAGGCGAGTTGGGCAAGGGGGGCTTGGGCCGGGCAAGGAGCGGGGGTGGGAGGGCTGGGCACCGGGAACAAAAGCCCCGACGCCGTCGCCGCTTCCAGCGTGGGCTCGGAAGGGGGGAGGGTCTCCTACAAGGACGCCCGAAGGCAGCCGCCACCGGGGCATCCCCGCCCGCCCTGTCCGGCCCAGGGCCCTGGCCGGAGCCAGCGGCGCTGCGTTCCCGCCGAGATCGGGGAAAGAGAGAGAGGGAACGGGCGGCGGCTGGCGCTGCTTCCCGGCATCGGCCGGGGCGCTGCCCTGGGCCCGTAAGGGGGCGGCGGGTCCCCGCCGTCCCGGAAACGGAGCTGCCCCTCTCCCTGAGGCGGACCGCCCCGGGTGTGGCGGGGAGCAGGACCCACCTGCCCGGCCGTGCCCAGCACATCGAAGGCTCCGCAGCAGCCGCACCCCTCCCCCCCGCCGCTCGCCAGTGCCGGGCTCGGGTTTGTTTAGTGGCGGCGGCGACGGCGTTTACTCGGGCCAAGATGGCGGACGGGAGCGCTACGCATGCGCGGGCGCCCCGAGGTACGCTAGGAATTGTAGTCTCTGCCGCCCCTCTGCCGTGAGGAGCTGGAGGAAACGGGTGCCAAGATGGACGCTCGAATGAACACTGCGCATGCGCGTTGACGAGGAGCATGCTGGGAACGATAGTTCTCTCGGTGTTAATGCGTAGGAAGCGGCGCCCACCGTCCCGCCGTAGCTCGGCGGGCGGGTACGGGCAGCCGGAAGGGACAAAACACGTTGCGCGTTCTCTGCCGGGCTGGGGCGCGCTAGGGCGGTTCGAACGCAGCCGCGTACCGCAGAAGTCTAGGAAATAACAGCTGGCCACCACTCCTGGAACGAAATATGGCAGGGGAGAACATCATCCCGACGCCATCGGGCTATCTGCAGTTTTCTAACTTGAAACGGATGCAGGTGGCGCGCGGGGCTGCAGCAAAGCGCTTGTAGGGAACAATAAGGGAATAAATTCCGCACCTACAGCCCCGTCACAGCCGCTCCGGGTGTTTCTGTTCCCCCAAGAAGAGCAACCACCTGTGAAAAATGCGTATTTTATGATTGGCTTTCGCAAATATTAAAATGAATATTATATGTGTTATGTTAGAAAGTTATGCTGTTTTAATTTCTTAAGTACTGTCTTAAACATAGTTTTAGGTTATAAAAAATGTTAAAATAGAAACTATGCTATGTAAGATACTTTTTTAAAAGAAAGGACTTGCAACGAGATAGCAGCCACAGGACACCTAAATCTTTCAGAGAAAGAGAATTTATTGCCCCATTATCAAGAGAAACGAACTTCTTTCCGCCTTGCTCAGGATTAGAGATGCCGTCAGGATTCAGAGGAAGAAGTTGACACTGACCAGACAGAATCCTGTGTTTGAATGGAATGTATGCATCATGTATGAGGTGTATGAATATGCAACAGGCTGTTGCTTTTAAGGGTTAATTCTCTGTTAATGGGTGTCCTTTTTCGGGCTTATTTTGCCCAGAAAAAGGTCCCTGGACGTCCGTAACTCTTTGTTTTTATTGTCTCATATTATCCTAATCCAAATTTTCCAAAATTTTATTACTCTAATTATATTGCTATTTTTATAACCAAATGATCAAATTTTTTGTAACTCAAATGATCAAATATTATGGTGACCTGATGAGCAACACTCTTCAAGTTGTTGTGATCTCTCTTGTGCCTTCATTTCAAATTTTTATAATGCACTTTAAAAACTAACAACAGACAATGATATATAACAGCTAGGCATTATGTACAGGGTGCTGAGGCCCTGGCACAGGTTGCCCAGGGAAGCTGTGGATGCCCCATCCCTGGAAGTGTTCAAGGCCAGGTTGATGGGGCTTGGAGCAACCTGGTCTAGTGGAAGGTGTCCCTGCCCATGGTAGGGGGCTGTAACCAGGACATCTTTCAGGCCCCTTCCAATCAAAATCACTCCAGGATTCCATGATTAATTTTATAAAAGCATGCTGCTGGGTATTCTTTTTAAGAATTTGCTCAATTATATACATTTAAACAAAATCTCTTCCTCCTTTCAGAAGGGGAAAGAAATGACCATCAATCTCTACTTCTTTTTAATATGTTCTCTACAACCCAACAATTTCAGATTCCCCATTGGCTTAAGCAATATGAATCTCATAAGTAACTGGTCTAATTAATCACACTTTTTGGGTGCTAAGAATATTCTGTCTCACCACACTTATTTTTGTCCTCAAAGACAATGGAAGAGAGAAGGAAGCAAGCTTGGAAGCCTCAGCTGTGAGATGGCCCAAGGAAGAGCTCTGATTTTCCCAGAGAGGTGATTTGTATGCAGCTCGGGTCACCGGGACAAAGCTGTGTTTCTCAGCTCTTTAGGGGCTCATAGGAAATGAGTGGAGCAGCCTCTCCGTACTTCTCACTGGGTTATTAACTGCATCTCCCCTGCATCACTGGGGAGTGATCACAATCATTATAAAATTAATCACTGGTTGATACAGGATCTGCAACAATCCCTTTTCTTCAGAACAGCTTCTCATGGATTGAAGAGAGGTGCTTCAGCTTGGTACTGTATGGGAACCAGGCACAGCTACGATAGCTGCTGCTTTTATCAGGTAAACAGTGAATTTCCAGCTTCCAAGAGACTTATGCTAGTAATTTTAAAAGTATAATTGGAAAATCAAAGGAAAAACTGTATTGGTTTCAGTATGCCAGCAATTGAGAAAGAAGTAGAAAAAATCCACTATGCTTTTGATACTAAGATGAACGTAACACGATAGATAATTTCAAATATTAGGGAATTTAAGGATAGTTTAAAGTATCTTCCATGTCTTGCATAAGAGAGAAATAGACTAGATTCTAATATGAGTTTAATTGACCTTTGTTTCCCAGTGGCTTAATCAATGGAGTTTCCACTTATCCTAATAGGTTATTCAGTGACTCAATACATTTTCCTAACATGAGCATCTCTGTTTTAATGGCATTCTTCTTCCCTCAAACCACTGGTAATCTCTCTTCCTCCTCAAACACTTTCCCATCACATTTTTCCTCCTGGCTAAGAGAAAAGCAGAAGCCACAACAATACCTCGGTGCTGGCAGCTTACAGAGGAGCTTTTTATACACAGCCTTGTCAGACAGATTGTCAGCCAGGACTATTTGTATTTAAAATCACAAAGATATTTCAACTACTTTTACTAAAGATAACTTTGTGTTGCCAATCAATAGATATTTCCCCCCCTATTGTAAGCATATTCTATTCATCAAATGCTTTTTGTTTTAAAAATCCTAAGAGCTTCTGAGCTGTAAGTATCTTAATTCAGCAAACATTAAAAAATGCATCAAAATGCCACTGTGTATAGAGTTAAGCATCTATTTAAACAGTTTGCTACACTGAGGCAAACTCAACAACGGAACCTCAGCTAATGAAAAAATCACTTGTGACATTTTGTGACATATCAAAGCAGGAATTAAACCTGGTACCCTCTGCAATCTTGGGAGGCAGATAAAAACCTCAGTCCTCTTTGTGGCTTGCTGTATTGGCAAAGAACATATAAATTTGCTTGCTCAGAACAGGAAATTAAGGAATGAAGCAAAGTATTGAAGTTATTGCTCCACTGAGCCACTTGAGTCCTTATCTATGGCGACATGTGTTATACAAACACTGGGTATCTCTAACAAGCTTCTGCCATTCAAAGAATATATATATATTCCAGATATATATCCCAGACCAGCAATTAGCAGAATTCAGTCACACTGGGAGCCAATTTGCCCTGTATTCTAGGGAAGCTTGCATTTTCTTTTTCAAGTTGCACTTTGAACCCATCCACAGAGTGTCTATTGCTTTAAAGTTCAAATCAACTCACCAACAAATTACTTGCTGGTGAGGGGCTTGGAACACAAGCCCTCTGTGGAATGATTGAGGGAGCTGGAGCTGTTCAGCCTGGAGAAAAGGAGATTCAGAGGTGACCTTATCACTCTCTACAACTTCCTGAAGGGTGGCTGCAGCCAGGTGGGGGTTGGTCTCTTTCTCCAGGCAGCAACTGACAGAATGAGAGGACACAGTCTCAAGCTGCATCAAGGGAAATATGGATTAGATATTAGGAAAAAGTTTTTTACAGGAAGAGTGATAAAGTACTGGAATGGCCTGCCTGGGGAGGTGGTGGAGTCACCATCCCTGGATGTGTTTAAAAAAGACTGGATGTGGCACCCGGTGCCATGGTTTAGTTGAGGTGTTAGGGCTGGGTTGGACCCAATCTTGAAGGTCTCTTCCAACCTCCTGGTTCTGTGATTCTGTGAACCCTGTGGACAGAGTTATCTTGGGGTTCACAGAGTTATTGTGCATAGATACTTCTGGATACAAATCTACAAAACTAGCTCTGTGGGATTAACCTGATGTCCATTTAGGTCTTACACCCGGGTTATCCCAATAGGGCTGTAAGGCTTGGAAAAGAAATGTAGCAGTAACAAGAATCATGGAAGCATTTCAGACTCTAAATATTCTCTTGCAAATAAATTTTTCATAGAAGGAAACCTGCAGGTGTACTCTGTCACACTAACAGTACTCTCAGAAAATTAAGGCATATGAACTTTCACCTTGGGAAAGAAACACAGTCCATTTCCAGAAGCAAACAGAAAAAGTTATTTTATACCCACTATTATGTGAAAGGGAATCCTGTATTTAAGATACAACTAACCTTTGAAAACACAGAGAAAAGCAACACTAACACACAAAATTCCTTTAAGAATAGTTTATTAGAATACAGCTTATATGTTCAACACTAATACAGTATATAATCCCTGTTAAATGTTCTATAGACACACTTGGAAACATACTGTGAATAAGACTTGAATAATCAAGAGGATTATTTAAAATATATATGTACACTTCAGAGGCTACTGTGCAAGAAGAACAGTTCCATGGATTTCTGCACTCTACAACAGAAGATAATTTTTGAAATTTCCAAATAAGTAGTAATGTAAACTAAATTTTATTTTTAAAGAAAGTGCTTCTAGTATCACTACTGGGTTTTGAAAACTATTAGGTCTATTTTCTTTCCATTATGTAAAAAGCACTTAAGAATAATGTCCACATAAAAACCACCATCAAGCAGTCCTCATTAAGTCCACTTTATAAACAAGTCCTTGCCTTAATTTAATTTAATTTAATTTAATTTCGATAGCTCCTATGCAAATATACACATATCTAGAGGGTAACAGCCACAACATACTTGTATAGTCCTTCAAATGATACAACCAATATCAATGGAGACTTTGGTCAGAAGTGGCAGCTCAGAAATATATGCAATGGCTAATTTAATTTTAATATTGCCATTCTGGTCTGGCTTGCTCAGAGCCCCAGAAAGGAGTTTAGCATGCCAGTACTTCTGTTTCATGAAGCAATTTGGAGGTGAAAAGGTCTTTCAATATTGGCAGAACATACAACTTTCTTATTAGTTATGTGAGAAGTAATTTTTTCCTACTGAAACAAATTTTCAGTGTTTTAAAATTCACTCTAACATTATGCAATCATGCTCCTATACTATTGCTACAATTGAAAATGATCCTGCTCTCTTTTTTATTGTGTTTCCTTGTATTAGCATGAACATTTATGCAACCTGCACCACAGATCAGATGGCAGTTATCTGGACTAAATCTAACCTGAGTTTATTTTAAAAAAGATTACTTATCTGATTAACACATTTATACAGTTCAGTGTCCATGAATGTTGGTGACTGCCAAGTAAAGTCAAACCAACGGGGTGCAGCAGTTTTCTTTAGTATTAGCTTAAATGACTACTCAAAACTACTTCAGCTACATATCCAAGGTAGAATTCAGGCAAACAATTCAAGCAGATGTTATTATGATAGGTCAGGACTACTTGATGACAAGACTTCCTCATGTAAAAGACAGCTTTAATCCTGCTCATACTAAACGAAGAAAGCTTAAAATATTTGAAGCTCAAAAGTAATCAAATAAGTAGTTTTTTTTTGTTATTTTTCCTTTATGCACTTTTTTGAAAACTTATACGCCCAGCACATCTCCAGGACAGCAAGACTTTTTATGTGAAGATACATAAAGGATGTATCACAGCTGAATTCTTAAAACTACAGCAGTATTACACCTGAAACAATCATCACTTGCCATCAGCATTTTTAATTTCACAGGTGCTCTACCTACTTTTAAACAGGACATATTTGGTGAGGGAACCCTTACCCACTTCCTACCATCCAGTTTTCTGTATCCTGTTTTTTTTTCCTAAGCTTTTTTTTATTTTTACCTAATAATGTCTTCTGACCAGTACAACCTCTATTAATTATTTCCTTACTTGAAAAGCTTGTGGCTTTCACCATTACTTCTTCAACTACCTGAAAGGAGGTTTAGCCAGGTGGGGATTAGCCTCTTCTCCCAGGCAGCCAGCGACAGGATGAGAAGACAGGGTTTTAAGCTGTGCCAGGGAAGGTGTAGGTTGTACATCAGGAGGAATTTTTTTTCACAGAAAGGGTGATTAGATATTGGAAGGGCCTGCCAAGGGAGGTGGTAGAGTCACCATCCCTGGAGATATTTAAGGAAAGCCTGGATATGCTCTGGTCTAGTTGACAAGGTTATGATCCATCATGGGCTGGACTCAGTGATTGCAGAAGTCTTTTCCAACCTAACTGATTCACTGATTCTGTGTGGGATCATCCATCAGGCTGCAGCGTGACAACATCTTCCTAGAAGCAAACGAAAATAAGACAAAAGAACACCATTACCACCTCGATGTCCACCCTATGCCTGGTGTTAAAGCAGACACAGTGTAGCTCATATACAGATAGGAAGCAGCCCTAGGCAAAGGCACACCAGCCCTAGGAAAAGGCACACCAGCCCTGCCCTGCTCCATTCACCCCTCTCTGAGTTTCCTCAGGGAGGGAAACTAAGGGAAACTTAGCCCCAAATGATCAGAACTGTAACAATGAGGTTGGCTGGAGGGCTGGAGACCTGTGGCTAGTGACCAGGAGCTGTGAGCAAAGAGAGGGGAGAAACCAGTCGTGGAGTTAATGGGGGAATGGGAGGTACTGTGCTTGGAGAGTGGGGGTTAGATGAGAAAACTATGTAGGGCTGCAAATACATGAATGAAGAAAAAGGGATAATATGGAAGGAGAGAGCAGGGAGACCAGGCTGGCATGAATAAGCTGGACTGGAGAAGAAAAAGCTGTGGAGGAGAGAAAAGTACTTGTCTGTACAAAAAATGTTATGATCCCCCCTCCTACACTGGGTTTGGAGTGGTCACAGTGTAACACATGCACGCTGTAGCATGTGCACGCACACTTGGCATCACACACGAGCACACGGCATCACATGTACAGTGCAACACATGCATGTGCTGTAACACACATGGCATTACACCCCCCGTGTAACAAGTATGCACACAGCGTAACACACACAAAGTGTAATATACACACTCTAACATGTGCACGCACACTTGGTGTCACACATGAGCATGTGGCATCACGTGTACGGCGCAACACACACACATGGTGTTACATGCATGGTGTAAAAAGTACGCACATGCTGTAACACACACACACACGGTGTAACACACGCACGGCATAGCCTGTGCACACAGCGTGCTGCACACGCGGTGAAACACACACACACACGGCATAACGCCTAGCGGTGTCACACAGCCACACACATGGGGTGGCATGCACGGTGTGACAAATATGCACACACCATAAACACACACGCATGGTGTGATGGACCCACGCACGGTGTGATGGACACATGCATGGTGTGTGACGGACACACACAGTTAACACACACACACGGTGTGATGGACACACACGGTGTGATAGACACATGCAGTTAACACATGCACAGTGTGATGGTGAAACACACGGTGTGATGGACACATGCATGGTGTGTGACAGACACACATGGTTAACACACACACATGGTGTGATGGACACACATGGTGTTATAGACACATGCGGTTAACACATGCACAGTGTGATGGTCACACACACGGTGTGATGGTCACATGCGCGGTGTGACAGACACGTTGTTAACACACGCACGGTGTGATGGACACACGGTGTGTGACGGACACACACTTGGTTTAACACACGCACGGTGTGACGGACACACGGTGTAATGGACACACTCACGGTGTGTGACAGACGCGCGGTTAACACATTCATGGTGTGATGGACACACGCACGGTGTGTGACAGACACGCGCGGTTAACACACGCACGGTGTGACGGACACACGCACAGAGTGTGACAGACACGCACTTGATTTAACACACTCACGGTGTGATGAACACACGCACGGTGTGTGACAGACACGCAGTTGGTTTAACACACTCACGGTGTGATGGACACTCGCACGGAGTGTGACAGACACACACTTGGTTTAACACACGCACGGTGTGATGGACACACGCACGGAGTGTGACAGACACACACTTGGTTTAACACACGCACGGTGTGTGACAGACACGCGCGGTTAACACACGCACGGTGTGACGGACACACGCACGGTGTGACGGACACACGCACGGTGTGTGACAGACGCGCGGTTAACACTCGCACGGAGTGTGACAGACACACACCTGGTTTAACACACGCACGGTGTGATGGACACTCGCACGGAGTGTGACAGACACACACTTGGTTTAACACACGCACGGTGTGTGACAGACAAGCGCGGTTAACACACGCACGGTGCCATTCACACGCAGACCCCGACACCTCGCGCATGCGCGCCCCCGCCGTGCCCCCTCCTCGCGCGCACGCGCAGGGCCGTGCCCGCCGCGGGCGCGCGCGGTGCAGTGTGGGAAGGAGGTGGCCCCGGCCCGGCGGAGCGCGGCGCTGAATCCTCCCGGCCGCTCACAGCACTGTGGAGCCGCTTCCCGCCCTGCCTCCCCTCCGGCCGCCGCCACCTCCTCCTCCTCCACCCCACACACGCACCCTCCCCCCCCGCCCCCCTCCCGCCGGCCCGCCGATTTAAAGGGGCAGCGGCGCCGGCCGGGGGAACCATGCCGAACTTCTGCGCGGCGCCCAACTGCACCCGCAAGAGCACCCAGTCCGACCTGGCCTTCTTCCGCTTCCCCCGCGATCCGGCCAGGTGAGACCACCGCGGGAGGGGCGGGCCGGGGGAGGCGCGCCCGGCTCTCCCCCTCAGGCCCCGCCGGCGCACAGCGCTGCCTGTCTGAGGAGACATCGTGCGGAGAGCCGGCTCCCTTCCCCCTGCCCGCTCTGCCTGCCCCGCGCCTCCCTCACCGCTCCTGCCTCCTTACCCGCGGGGCCGGCGGGCGCCCGGACCTCCGATGGTGCCTGCGGAGGCCGCGCTCGCTGCGGCGGGGCGGGGCCGGGGGACCCTCCGGGCGGTGGCGGCGGGAGGCGGGCGGGCGGCTGCGCCTGCGCCGGGGCGGCGGCGGCTGCGGCTGCCGCCCCTCGGGGGAGTGGTGGGGACGGCGGCGGCGCCGCTCCGCGATGCGGAGGGAAGAGAGCACCTGGCCGAGAGCGGGGTGGGGCCGTCAGTGGGGTGGTGCCATGGCATGTACGGCTGTGAGAGATGTGGGGAACTGGAGGGGTGCCGGAGCCGTGGGCTCAGGTAGGGAGCCCTGCACTGTGGGAGCCCGCGCAGGCTCAGCGCTGGCTCAGGCAGTGAAGGTCCATCAGTCCTGCTATCAGTCCTGCTGTGTGTATTAGGCGATGTGGTGTGTGCGTGGCAAATGGGGCACTCCTGCGACGGGAGGAACTGTCACGGGATTACTGGGATGGTGGCAAAGCGTCATGACCGACCGCAGAGGTGATGGGAGAAATTCCCAATGGGTGAAAAGCAGGGCTGGTGTACTGGTAGAGTAAAAAGTGTGTGAGTGAGAGACAGTGGAAAATACTACGAAAAATAAATAGTGTACACAGACATAGAAACCCCCATGTAAAGGTTCACCCTTAAATTGAGATGACACTCTTAAAATCACTTGATTTAACATGATGCTCAGAATATTGAAGGGGGCATAGGCATAGGGCAATATCAGTTACCTCTTTTCTAACAGTCGATAGTTAAGGCTGGGCTTTTCATGATTTATACGTGATATTTACTTCCTTCCTTCCTTGAAGCTGCTTGACCTGAGTTTTGGAAAAATCAAAACCCCATGGGAATTATGCAGATGTAGTATTTTCTAAGGAAACAGACCCTCCAAGCAATTTCAAATGAAGATGCAAAAAGCTTATATTGGTAGAAGCTGCTCTCTAAAGTTGTGATTTTGGATATGTTACGAAGTTCTCCTGGATGAATGCAAGGCCTTGCTGTAAAGGCTATCCAGACCTCTTGATGTCTAGTACATGCAAGATACTGTAATACAATCCATATTCTATATACTTTTGCTTTAATAAGAACTGAAATAAAAGTGCTTGCTTACCTACTCTTATTCTTTCATTTTCATGATTTGTTCTTACTGTTGTCTCTTTCTGCCATCTGTCCTGTGAGACCCTTAAGATCTCACACAAAGAAATGTCTGCAGTTTGTGTGGAATTGAAGAAAATTGGCAATGTCTGAGCTTCAGTCTTAATTTGTAAGAGGTCCATGCTGTAAAATGTGAGCCACATCAAGCTGTACAGAATTCCTCAGTAGTTTGCTGTATGAAGAAAATACCCTCTGCAGTTTATAATTTTTTTTTTTTATTAAAGGACATTTTGAATGAGTGTTTTCTGTGGTAGCAGTGCAGAGAGGTAGTTAAAGGTGTGCGACTAAATGATTACGTTTTAAATATTAATTTTTTTAAAACTATTTTATAAAGTCTAGGATAGTTTGGATTGGAAGGAACCTTAAGGCTAATCTCATTCCAAGCCACGGGCAGGTACACCTTCCACTACATCACTTTTCTCCCAGCCAACCCTTGAAACACTTCCAGGAATGGGGCAACCTCAGCTTCTCTTGGCAACCCATGCCAGGGCCTCCAAACCCTCACTGTAAAAAAATTTCCTTTGTGTATCTAACCTAAATTTCCCCTCTAACAGTTTGAAGGCATTTCTCCATGTCCTGTCACTACAGTTCCTGATGCAGAGTTCCTCTCCTCTGTAAGGCCCCTTCAGACACTGGAAGGCGCTGTGAGGTCTCCACACAACCAGCCTGAACAGCCACCAACTACTTCCTCATCCTGTCTCCATATGGGAGATGCTCCAGTCCTCTTGCCAACTTTGTGGACTTGGTCCAACATCTCCATGTCTGTCTTTATATTGGGGCAGACTATACACAGTATTTCAGATGGGGTCTCACAAGATGGGCAGGAGAAGGAGAAACTATACATAAACTGTTTATAGCACCTTTGTACTCTTAAAAGCAGTCAGTGACAAAGATGATGTTCTAAGTTCTCTATAAGTTTCCCCCTTAATATTTTACAACTTTCTGTCCAAATTTTGATCATGTATTCTATTTTACCAAGAGCATTTAGAGACTGATAAATTTGTGCATCCTTTTGGTTTTACAGACTTGAGGGTGTTTTATTCTGTGGGTTGGTCTACAGATGGAAATTAAAATATGTTCCTTGTACTGCTTGCTCTCACTTTTGTAGGTCAGATTGGGATGGTGAGCAAAGTGCATTGTCTCAAAATGTTATTTGCACTTGGCAGCTTACAGTGGGAAAGCTGAAAATAAAGTTGTTAGAATACATCTTAAAATAAATTTTAATTAAAAAAAATCATTGATGGAAAATGTGCAGTCTGGGTAAATTGTTTCTGCTACTTTACTGTTTTCAGTGTTTTCCATAATAGCTGGGTAATTTCCTTTAATGTTTTCTCAGCTCAGTGCTAAGCAGTTCCAGTTAGACATTCCAAGTCTGATCGTTCAGGTGTTAGGAAGTCAGTGAGAGCTAACCTGCTAAGACTACCTTCTTTCATTTTGGCTTCTTGAGAAGATAAAGGGTTCAGAGATTAGCCTTTGGAGAAGAACCACCAGTATTTAATGGGTGGTATATTGTCTTTTCATATCAAACTAGTGTAAGTAGCCTCTGCTACCTCCATAAGGTTTACAGTTTTATGCAGTCTAGGCAGTGATCCTCACAGTAAGATATGTTTGTTTAACTCTCATCTGTGATTGTGGCTCTGTTCATCATGGTGGCTCAAGTTGCAGATGAGGTATGAGTGTTTGTTTAGAACAAAATACTTCTTAAGCAAAGAGATGCTGTTCTGCTGCAGTTGACCAGTAGTGAGGTAATGTATACTCTAGCAGCAACTCAGTAAAATGCCATTTCAGCTTCCATGAGATGTCAGCAGATCTCTAAAAATAGAAAGTTTGTGACTGAAGAAAACCTTCTTAAAAGCTAATGAGCAATGCCTAAGAGGTATGAAGGAAACTTTCCTGCCTGACCATTCAGGAGCCACACTGGGAGTCCCTTTGCACAGCCCAGTGACTTTAATTGCTATGAGCAAAGCCCCTCCAGGGCAGGTGGCTCCAGTGAAACACAGTGCCCTGGATATGTCTCATGGTGGCAGACAAGTTTCCCTTTCAGCCTCCACCCTGGGTTCTGGGTTTTCTGTAGCAGTCTCAGATGTCTGGTTCCTTTCAGCACTTTAACCATAACGTGGTAACAGCTTGAGCTGATGACTCTGGGGATTGACCCTGAACCAAGAAATCCCTGGGCTTTTATATCCCTACAGACTCTGCACCCAGTCTGTGAAAGCTGCCCTTATGTACAGCATTATTCCAAGTACAAATGTAACAAAACTAACAGGATTACCATAAGGTAGAGTATAACATTAGAGATTCCTGTGCACAAATACTTAAATGATTACCAATAAAAAATCACAATCAACTGGTTGATCATCCACTACTTGTTTGATCTGAGTATGGTGTATCCAGTTTCCTTACCTAAAACTTACAGCAAATAGTAAATGGCAGTATATGGTCCTTCTTATTTAACTTCCAATTTGGATTTTACTGAAAATACCTTAGTTAATCCTTCTTCTCCAGATTGTATGTCATGTAGCTGTATTTTGTTTTATTTATTTTTTATTATTTTGTATGAAGTTGTCTCCAACCATTTATTTTCTAAGAGGCTGGTCCTGGATATAATTCTCTGCCAAGCACTATTCCTGTTGATGACCACTCTAGAGGTTGGTGAGAGTTATTTCCAATATCTTGCTATCCCATAGTACTGCTCTTAAACTCCAGGCCTTTTACAATCTACCTGACTACAAGTTTGAGCAGTTTTATTATTTCTTTGTTTAACAGGAGCCTTTGGTATGAGCTGGACAGTGTACTAAAGTGGTTTCTCTTGTAGCTTCCAGCAGCACTTGTATTTCAGTTCCATTAGATACATTCTTTTCAGTAAAGAACTGTGGTTCCTTCAGTAGTGTAGATGTATGACACTCTCCAAAAGCTTATTTAGAATTAGTATAGTCACTCATTAATTACATCTCCACCAATTACATCTCTCTTCCTAATGCAAGTTAATTCAGCCTCTTGGGCATTCACCAAGGGATGTAGAGGTTCTGCATTATGCACTGCAAGTTTCTCATTCCTGTATAGCCTGTGTGTCATTTGCCATTCATGTATGAGGATCCATTGGAGAATGGGATTAGATCCAAGTTCTCTAGAGACTGATCATGCATATTTCCCCGTGGGTGGCTGAAGTGAAACACTACCTGAGCACATCATGATGCAGCTCACTGTTGAAGGGAATGGGAAATGTTCTGGATTAAAAAAAATCTCAAAATAATATGTGTATTTAAAACAATTTATTCACAACTATATGCTCTTTGTGGGGATGATGCTTGTGAAGCATGTTCAAGAATCGGGTTCATTTCATGTATACATGGTTGTTGAGTGACTTGGACCTAAGTTTGCTCCTTTTCGTGGTAATTGCTGTTGCTGCTATTGCTTTTAACATAGGAATTATTCCCTGCTGCTACAGCATCCCATTGAGTTGAGTAGTAAGACTCAGGGCAGTCTTGTGGATGTAGGTTTTGCATAAGGAGTTCACAAGCTCCATAAGCCTGTTTTCTCATGCAGAAATAGTTGAATCCTGAAAGATTTGATAAAAGTTAATACATAATTTTATTCAAAGATCTTTCTAGTTGCTTCTTGGATAATACCATGCAGAGCTGTAAGTGGGTGATCTCAGGGGTCTGACTTCCTTTTGCTTTGTTATTCCATTCCTCAGAGAGTGTGTTGTATTTGGAACCAAACTCACAGTGAGACTGAAGGGCTGAATTCAGACTCAGATGGAGTTTTCATGTTTGAATTCAGTCATATAACCTGTCATCTCCTTTTAGTCCTGTAGCTACCTGAGAGAATGTCAACATTTCAGCCTTTGCCATTAGAGCTTCCTAAATTTCTAGAACTCTGGTTGCTGATATGCTGCTCCAGTGGGTTGAGAAGCTTGGTGCCCATGTCTGATCCATGATATGAAAGAGGGGAAGTTTAGGTATTGGGAAGAAATTCCTCCCTGTGAGGATGGCGAGGCCCTGGCACAGGTTGCCCAGAGAAGCTGTGGCTGTCCCATCCCTGGGAGTGTTC